CAGGATATGTTTCACTCTCTCTGGGGCCCCTGTGGGGGCCCCAGAGGCCCCAAGGGGGCCCCCCCCAGGGGCCCCGGGGGCCCCTGGAGGGGCCCCCCGGGGGGCCCCCGGGGGCCCTGGGGCCCCCACCGGGGCCAGCAGGAAAGAAGAGATAGCTAAGGGGCTGAAGGAGACCCTACTGCGCCTCAGCAACGCAGGCGGGAGGCCCCTCTATCACTCTCCCTTTGGGGGGGGCCCCCTATCTCTCCATCGCTTAGAGGCCCGGTGCCGGGGGCCCCTGTCTTGGGGCCCCGCTGCAACAACAACAGCAGCAGCAACAGCAGCAGCAGCAGCAGCAAAAGCAGCAGCAACAGCAGCAGCAGCGAGATGTTATGCATGGGGTACACATTCTGTTGCAGCAGCAGATGCTGCAGCAGCTGCGGGTTCTCTTGACGCCCAGCCGTGCATAGATGCAGCAGGAGAGGGGCCCCCAGCAGCAGCAGCAGCAGCAGCGGCAGCAGCAGCAGCAGCAGCGGAGACGTCTGTACCCTTGGGGGCCCCTGAAGGCCCCTGGGGGCCCCGCCCCCGTCGCAGTTCGTGGGCCCCTGTGCCCCTGGGGGGCCCCCCGCTCTCCGAGGGGTATGGCGAGGGGCCCCCTGCTGCTTGCAGGGGGCCCCCCTCTTCTTGTGCTGCTGCGGAGCAGCAGCAGGGGGCTGAGGGTTTGTGTGCTGGCAGCAGCAGCAGAGCCTCGCTGCAGCAGGAGACAGAGGGGGGCCCCCCCAGCTGCTCCTTGCGGAGGTCTTGGGGGCCCCAGAGACACCTGGAAATACTGCACCCAGATCTATTGCCTCCTGCTGCTGCTGCTGCTGCTGCTGCAGCAGATGCAGCAGATGCAGCAGATGCAGCAGCAGCAGCAGCAGCAGCAGAACAGGGCACCCCAGAAACCCACAGAAACAATGGGGGCCCCGGGGAACTCCCGCTGCGGATGCAAGGGGGGCCCCTCTCTTGGGGGGCCCCCCAAGCCTCACCGCACTCGACAGCAGCAGCAGCAGCAGCAGCTGCTGCTGCTGCTGCTGCTGCTGTTGCTGCAACACCAGCAGCAGCAACTCCGCTTGAGTCACGAGCAGCAGCAGAGGGGCCCAAAGAAAGGCCTCAATCAAGACACAGCTGGAGGGGGGGCCCCTGGGGGGCCCCCCGGGGGGCCCCCTGGGGGGCCCCCTCGCCCCTCAGCAGGACGAAGGAGAGAGTAGGGGGCCCCCTGCTGCGGGCGGAGACACAGCTGTCTCCTCGGGGCAGCAGCAGCACGGCATACTTCAAGCAGAGACTGCTGCAGGAGCAGCAGCGGCTGCTGCTGCAGCAGCAGCAGCAGCCGCTGAGGACCCGGCTGCAAGGCCACAGCGTGCAGCAGCAGCAGTGGCAGCAGCAGCAGCAACAGCAGTGGCGCAAGCAGCAGCACTGGCAGCAGCTGCAGCAGCAGCTGCAGCAGCAGCAGCAGCAGCAGCAGTGTTCTTCTTGTGCCCCTATAGGGAATTGGGGGGCCCCCAGGAGGTCTGTAGGCGGCGTATGTGGGGGCCCCTCTGCTTTCTCGGGTTGGGGGGCCCCCTGGCAGCAGCAGCAGCAGCAGCAGCAACAGCAGTTGCTGCTGCAGCAGCAGCAGCAGCAGCTAGCAGCAGCATTTGCTGCTCGACTGAAAGAGTCCTCAGGTGTCTCCTCAGGTAATTTGTCTCTGCATTCAACTGTAGCGCTCAGTGCCAGCAGCAGCAGCAGCAGCAGCAGCAGCAGCAGCGTCAGCAGCCGCAGCTGCAGCGTGACTGGCTTCAGCAGCAGCAACAGCAGCAGCACGACTGCTGCTGCTGCTGCTGCTGCTGCTGCTGGCGGAGACAGAGACAGCGGGATCGAGAGACAGCGGCGTCTCCTCTACCGGCGGCTTGAGCTGCAGTCCTCTCGTTCTCTCATCAGTGCTGCTGCTGCAGCACTGCGGCAGCAGCAGCAGCAGCAGCAGCAGCAGCAGCCGCAGCAGCAACTGGAGGGTGTTGTTGACACTCATCATCACTATGGGGGCCCCACAGGTAGAGGGCCCCCTGCAGCAGCAGAAGGAGACAAAAAGGAGACACATGCAGCAGCAGAAGAGACAGCTGCAGCAGGAGACTGTCTCCTTTCAGGGGCCCCCAGCACACAGCGGGGACAGCTGCTAGAGACAGTCAATACACTTCAGCAGCAGCAGCAGCAGCAGCAGCAGCAGCAGCAGCAGCAGCAGCAGCAGCAGCAGCAGCAGCGAGGAGGGGTAGAGACTGTCTCCGATGAGGATGAGGTGTCTCCTTTTGTCTCCTCTGCTGCTGTTGCTGCCTGCTGCTCAAGGAGACCTTTTTCTGCTGATGGGCCCCCGCGTTGCTTTCCTGCTGCTGCTGCTGCTGCTGCAGTTGCTGCTGCTGCTGTTGCTGCTGCGAGGGCGCAGAGACACAAACGAGAACGGAGGAACTGCAGTGGAGGGACTCTTGCTGCTGCTGTTGCTGCTGCTGTT